AGATATATGTAGTACATTCATAATTATAGTACATTAATTCTCCAACACAAGGTCATTCAAATAAACTAATCCCACGCACGTAAGGGTAAATCTATATATTTCTATTGAAGAACTTTAAATTTGATTATTTTAAACAGCTATTGGTTAAATGTACTACTCATTGTTCCCCAAGCACCAGGTGTGTGGATTTTTTGAAAGAATATGTTGTCCAAGGGGAAAAATACTAGAAAGTGTACTTATTTTTTCTTAAATATCTATTTCCACTCATCCTATCCCACAAAACACAGAAAAAAGTCGAATATAGAATTTTGCTTTCCTTTTATCCAGTGAACATGATTAATACACTACCATTGGCAGCTCAGTTTATTTTTAGTAATGTAAACTCTCTGTAAATGTTTATTTTATGGTTTTTAACTTTGAGCTATTAGTATTTTACTGTGTAGGATCTAAAATACCTCATGCTTGAACTGTTAAAGATATCGTTGTTTATATTAACTCTCCCAAAAACCAAAATGGTGTTTAATATATATAAAACACTTTAAAGCTATAAGTAATTTATATATTCTTCCAAGAGCTGCCATTCAAACTTTACTGGGATCTTTTGAAGGCAAATGCAATACAATAATACTGTTACATTAATTTGAATAAGTTTGTTACTCCGTGTGTGTGTGCAACTGAAGGTTTGTATATTAAAGGAATATTAGACGTGGGCATGTTTTTGTGTATGCGCTGTACTTTTATGGTTCAGAAATTCCCAGGAATTTGCATGACTCCCTACAAATTAGTGTTTTACTATCAATATAACAAACAATGTGAAAAACAAAACAAAAAAGTACTAATCCAATGGGTAAGGTAAAACTTGTTGTCCCAGACATTGTACAATATGACTTGCACACACCTGAACACTGTAAACAAAAACCTTTCTGATCTTGTTGATTGATTGATTAATTGTAATAAAACACATTTCTGCTTTACTAGACCTACAAGATTTTCCAGTAATAAAAATGTCTTTGTGTTTCAACTGCACATATTGCAGCACACTACTACCAACAAGGCCATTTGTTCACTACTACAGCTTGTCAAACCTTTCTCATCTTGTTGATTGATTGATTAATTGTAATAAAACACATTTCTGCTTTACTAGACCTACAAGATTTTCCAGTAATAAAAATGTCTTTGTGTTTCAACTGCACATTTTGCAGCACACTACTACCAACAAGGCCATTTGTTCACTACTACAGCTTGTCAAATGAGCTGAGTTTACAACATATAAAGCTTCAATTAAAATTTACTTAAATTTGTCAATTATTAGATGTCAAGTTTTAAGGTGTATAAACCATATGGTTCATGAAGTATGATCTGTTTGGATGATTTCTGTTCTGGCATTTTTAAACTAACCAAAGCTGCTGTTGATAAACAAATGGTTCAACTTTTGTACTCAGTGTTTATTTTGTGCCAAGTAAGTTTGGATATATTATATTGTATACTTATCTTTGGCACTAATAACATTGTATATACTTCTACAACTAGATAATGTAATACACATGACCTTGTTCTAATTTCTTTATAACAGTTGTTTAACAAAGTCTAACATTTCTTACTTAATGCCTTTATCTCTTTTTATTTGTTTTATCTGCTCTAATATATGTAACACCATTATCATATTCTTGTTTATTACCTACTCTATAAAACATTTTGAAATGTTTTTAATTCCTATTCTGGAATATAACACTTGTTATCACCTTTTTAATTTCTACTTCAGAATGTTGTGCTAGTTAACATAGTCTTACTTGTACTCAGGACAGTAATGCTTGTTAACCCTCTTACTATTGGTTGGTCAAAGTGCAGGTCATGACTTTTTAAAGAGTTACTTTCAAAATTTAATTATTTTATTATCATCATTGGCATCTTTTAAAACAGTTAATAAATCAAATTTTAATATTATACAAGATTTAAGTTCTTAATTTCACAAGGAAATATTTAGAAAATCCTCAATCTCCCCTAGTATGAGAATTTAGAGATTTGTTCTCTAGGTCTTCTCTCTTCTCTAATTTACTTACCACCACTCTGAGAAGTATGGAACCCAATGTAAGTTTCTCATTATAATAAAGATATTACTAAGGAAAAACATAATTTTCCCAGCTTTCAATAATTTTTTTTAATGGAGTCATAAATTAGAGAATCAGACACCTGCCATGCCCACTTATCACTTCCTCTTTTACAGATTGTCAATAGTTCTCTCTGACATTTTATACTACATTATATATAACTAACAGAAAACCAAAGTTTCAATTTATCAAATGACGTATTATATTATGTTGTTTTCAGTACAGAATACTGTATATTTAATTTTCAGTTTGAAAGTTTTTCTCCCGGTGATTTAATGATTTAAAGGCTCTTATGCCATAGTAAGAAAGCCAGATGAATTATGTTAGTTATATAACCTCATTTGGTCTGTGCATATTATCATTCTGTTCTTAGGTGCAATATTTAAGGAAGTAAAAATTATTTACTGTACTAGTACCATTAGTACAAAAAAGTAGGCTTGAATTTTATCAGCAACCAAGAACAAAAAAACAAAAGGTCACAGGCAAGTGAAATATTTGTTTTTCATGCATATTCTTTACTTATTAATATAAAAGTAACTAAATGTAAAAATTAGAAACTTATTAGGTTAGATTAGGTAAGATAATGAACAATAATAATAATTCACAAGATATGCTCTCAAGCAGGTCATTTGTTACATCATTCAATACAGTGACATGAGCTACACATTCACTAAGTGATTTACAATCTTGTGTGGCAGGAGTATTAGTTGGACAAAGATCAGAGGGCAATAAAACTAAGTATAAACAAATGTATACTGTAATGAAAGCTTTAAGATATTTAGGTTTGTTTGTTTTTGAATTTCGCGCAAAGCTACACGAGGGCTATCTGCGCTAGCCA